GACGGCGGCGGCGACCCAGGGCGCCATGCACCACCAGCGGGTGCTGATCAACATCGCCGGGCTGCGCTTCGAGACCCAGCTGGGCACCCTCAACCAGTTCCCCGACACGCTGCTGGGGGACCCCGATAAGCGCATGCGCTACTTCGACCCTCTCCGCAACGAGTACTTCTTCGACCGCAACCGGCCCAGCTTCGACGGGATCCTCTACTTCTACCAGTCCGGGGGGAAGCTCCGCCGGCCCGTCAACGTCTCCATCGACGTCTTCGCCGACGAGATCCGCTTCTACCAGCTGGGCGAGGAGGCCATGGAGCGCTTCCGCGAGGACGAGGGCTTCATCAAAGAGGAGGAGAAGCCCCTGCCCCGCAACGAGTTCCAGCGCCAGGTCTGGCTCATCTTCGAGTACCCCGAGAGCTCCGGCTCGGCCCGGGCCATCGCCATCGTCTCCGTGCTGGTCATCCTCATCTCCATCATCACCTTCTGCCTGGAGACCCTGCCGGAATTCAGGGACGAGAGGGAGATGCCCGTGCCCCTGCCTCCACAAAGAGGAGGTTTGAACGGCACAGCCGGGGACTCCCCCCCCATGCAGCCACCCAGCAGCCTCTCTGACCCCTTCTTCATCATCGAGACCACCTGCGTCATCTGGTTCACCTTTGAGCTCCTCGTCCGCTTCTTCGCCTGCCCCAGCAAGCCCGAGTTCTCCCGCAACATCATGAACATCATCGACATCGTGGCCATCATCCCCTACTTCATCACCCTGGGCACCGAGCTGGCCCACGAGCAGCAGCAGCCCGGGACTGGCAATAGCAATGGGGGCGGGGGCCAGCAGCAAGCCATGTCCCTGGCCATCCTCAGAGTCATCCGCCTGGTCAGGGTCTTCAGGATCTTCAAGCTCTCCAGGCACTCCAAGGGGCTGCAGATCTTGGGACAGACTTTGAAAGCCAGCATGAGGGAGCTGGGCCTCCTCATCTTCTTCCTCTTCATCGGCGTGATCCTCTTCTCCAGTGCTGTCTACTTCGCTGAGGCCGACGACCCCGAGTCTCATTTCTCCAGCATCCCTGATGCTTTCTGGTGGGCGGTGGTGACCATGACCACCGTGGGCTATGGGGATATGCGACCTGTCACTGTGGGGGGCAAGATTGTGGGCTCCTTGTGTGCCATCGCGGGTGTGCTCACCATCGCCCTGCCTGTCCCCGTCATCGTGTCCAACTTCAACTACTTCTACCACCGAGAGACTGATCACGAGGAGCAAGCTATCCTCAAAGATGAACACAGTAGTGCTCAGGGCAGCACAGCGGGGGGAGATGCGAAGAGAAGGTCCAGTAGAAACTCTCTGAACAAATCTGTTGTGCACTTGGAAAACAGTGAGGCGTTCAACAATGACACCAGCTCCTTAGAGAAAACCAATATCAAAGCGAAAAGTAACGTAGATCTCAGAAAATCCCTCTATGCTCTCTGTCTGGACACCAATAGGGAAACAGACCTGTAAGGAGAGGAGAGAGAGTTCGGAGATGCAGAAGGATTTACCGGTGTCAGAAACTTACTACTATAATTATTCTTTTGGTACCCACTAGTTTTTTAAATCAGGCTATATTTTATAAATTGATCACTATCCTGAGTAGTCCTCCAAGAATACATGTTTTTATGTTCTTTTTCCATGACACAAAGGGTCACCTATTTTTAAAATGGACTAAGAATAAGCTACGCTCCATGATGCAGGAGCTGGTAAATTATGACAGTGCAAAATCTAATTTGTAGAAAGTTATTTTAGCAAACGGTGGTTGGTTTTAAATGGGTCATTTGTAACCAATTCAGTTGCTCCAAGTTTAGTATTAAAGACTTGGGGGAATGTGTGTGTGGAGAATGAATGGAGGAGGGGGTGTCAGTTTTTTGTACTGTAGTTTCAAACTGAAATTATTCCAATATATTTTATATCTGTATAACTGTATTTATGGTTGAAAGGGGATTTCTTATTCCTGTGAAATACGACCTCGTTAAAGCACTAGAACATTAGCAGATCAGCACTTTCAGAGTTTTCCACTTGTGATCAGTACAGATCTGGTTATCTAGTATGTGAAGTGAATTTGGTGCTTTTAACCCTATAGCAGAAAACTTTTACTGTCATTGATATGTTAGTTTCTTGTGAGCCTTAAATTATTAAATATTGTAGATATACTTCTTTATAAATAATTTTATTAATTACCTTGCTCTTTCAGAATTTCTAAATTAAGTCAGTCTTGTGCTTACTGTCCCCACTCAAAAAAATGTATGTGCAGCTTTTTTTTTTTTTTTTTTTGGTAGTTTTATACTTCAGTTATATTTTTGAGACCGAAGGAAAAAAAATTATTGTCTGCTGTTACTTGTTGCGATCCAAGTGCACAACAGATCAAAACCATGAGGGAGTGGATAGATATAATGAGAAAGTAGAATATGAGTGCAATATCTGCAAAACTGTTTTCATTGTACACTCCAGATTACTTTGGTGTGTGTATCAGTCACCTTTGTGTATCCATACCGTTTGTGTACACAGTTCACTGGTTTTAATTATCACAGACTGGAAACGGATGGCACTTAAAGAGTCTAACGGAGCATGCCGTGCTACTTAAATAACCATTGCGTGGCTTATATCTTGGACTCGGACGGACAGCATCGCCCTTCATCAAAACACATCCGTGTTTTCTTTTATTTCCAAAGAAAACCTTTGCAGTGCTGTGGATTTTACAGTTAAGATGCTGTTGAAAGGCGAATGACTCATTATCTTCATCGTGATAACACAGCACTGTACAGCTTACTAGTGAAGACTGACACAAAGATGCTTCTTTACTTTAACTCAAAGAGCTGCGTTATCATTTTTCTTGCAAAGGACATCCCTGTTTTCCCCTCAAACTTCTGTTTTATTGCTGAAGGATGTTTCATGCCTTTACCACATACAGTGGCACAGCAAGACTAGCAGAAAGAGAAGCCTTGATTGTCAACGCTCAAGGTTTGTTTCTAACAGATTTTCTAATATAACTCAGTAAATGCTAAATCAGGATTATAATTTCTGCAAGTACCTCAGATATATGTACTGTGATAAATTTAAATTGGCTTTGCAAAACAGCGCTTTGACATTCTCTGGTCCAGACGCAAATTCTGCTTACCCGTCCCTTACCGTGCTGTTTAACGATCCTGGCCAAATGCGTGATGTTTTTCCTTCCTGTTCAGTAAAAGAGGCATGGTAAGTGCCAAGCAAGTAGTATTTTTCATGTTCGGTATAAAGAACTGTCACACAGAGCTCAGCCCAAAGCCCAGGGGTGAGGGGGAGGGAGGTTGAATCTGGTAATAGAGAACAGGATCTTTCACGTGCATTTTAGACATTGGTTTCTTGCTTGGTTTGCTTGTTTATTTAGACGGGGAACGATGCTGTAATATGCTGAGAAACTGCAACAAGACGGACGGAGAAAGTGCCCAGTCCAGCTGCACTCCAGCCTCAGGCAGATCTCCTGTTTGCTTTAGCGGGAGTTTTTGCATCAAGGTGAAGTGCAGAATTAGCCCTTTGGTGAGGCTGAATCTAAACTGAAAGAAAGAAGTGGTGTAATTGCCTGTTGCACATGCTGAGATCTAGATCTTTGATGGACTTACAGTGAAGCTTTTTGCTCAAGCGAGTAGTTTGATTTACTTGCAGTGATTAAATCCATCTGACTCACCTGAGTAAGTACCAAACAATTCAGTGAGTCTTTCAGATCAAATTTTGGTTGTGTCTTCCTCTGACTACTTACCCCCACCCTCCTGACCACTTTTGTCTTCCATAGTTTGCTCTTGCAATTGTGCAGGATTAGGCTGTCAGCTCCTCAGGGCAGGGGCAATGTCTATATACCATCCCTTGTTTAACAGCAGAACCCTGCTTATTGGCCAAGGCTTCTGGATATTAATGATCTGAATTACACAATGGTAATTACTGCAATTAGTGGAGAAACACCGGTGTAAAACTGATGTAGGTGAAAGCGGATCAGGGCTATGGGGGGTGGGTTGAGCTGATCTTAAAAGCCCATTGCTGATGGAAAGGGAAGGTCTTGTCTTCCTCCTTCCTTTTCAGTTTTCTTCCTCCCTTTGTGTGCCCTTTTGTTCCTTACCCTGAACTGGTTCTGTCCTTGTGCAAGTGCTGCCTTCTCTACCGGGAGCTGCTTGAGCTCACTAATCTAGCAGAAAATCCAATGCAGCAACAGCAACAACAACGAAGTAGGTCTTTTTCTGTCAAATTAGTGAGTTGGAAAGCAAGCGAGTGCCAGAGCCAGTGCGAGGAAGGGATGGGGAAGGTCAGTGATGTGGGGAAGCAAGGAGGAGTGAAATCCTCACCCTTCAGTGGCAGTGAACGGTCAGATTAATCACAACTGCTTGTTGAACCCTACTTCGTGTTTGCCGAGGTACCCCAGGACTTGGTCTCGCAAGGCAGTCGGGGCCTTTAACTTCCCACCGGAGCCAGTCTGCAAAATTCAGCTTTGGATTTAGGCGTATGTGCCCTGCTGTAACCGAGAGTAGAATTTGTCCCAATCAAGATCAAGCTCCATGAGAGCAAAATGCCCTGATTGCTGCACAGGGTTCTATGCAAGCTTGTCAAATCATTCCTTGACCTTCAGTTTGAACATGCTGCGTTTTTCCATAATAAAACAACAGACCTTTCCAATAAAAAGAAAACCAATTATTCTCAAAATATGGTTGAAAATATTTGTTTGGCTTGGCTTTCTGAACAGTTGTCAAGCACAGTTCAGGCAAACTCAGCTTTGACACCTTCTTTACAAGGATGCGTAATTTTTATTGGCTTATAAGGCAGTAAAGGATTTGCTTTCTAATGAGAGAGGTTGCTGCCAGACACTGAGTAACACAACCAGAAACATGGTTAGATCACAGTTCAGCAAAGCACCTAGCACGGGCTCAGCTTTAAGCACATGCTTAAGTAAAGCATTGTTCAGCAGGTATTTTAGATGCGCTAATCTTTGAGATTGTTACTTTAAGATGAACTACAGACCCTGCTGAAACCTTAGAGCCATCAGTTCCCGTTGGACTTTGGTGCAAATATTGAGGTACGCGGTACAGATTGTGAGCCTGGAAACAAGCGGTGCTGCAGGACAGTAGTCAGAACACCAGATCCTTACTACAGAAAGAGTGCCTATGTCTGCAGCCACTACTCAGAGCAGTCCTCTTCACACAACTAGTTGCAAACTGAGTGCTGGGACTGTCTGCATGAAGAATTGTAACTTTGGTCTGGATGAGAGTGTAGTTGCACTTTCCAGCAGCGAGAACCTGCTTTTGTTGTAATTGATTTTGGTGTCAAGAAGCTTGATTGAGTTCAGTGGGCAGCATGCGTCTGTGTCTGCGATACAAACAGTGCAGAAGCCTTGTAACATGCCGATGCAAATTTCTGCTGCAAAAGAATACGAGAGAAAGAGAGAACCAAATCACTCTGAGGAAGCTCCTGTAACTGTGAGACAGGAAGAGACTTTAGGCTATGTATGCCAATTCTAGGCTCATTACAAGAAGGAAATCTGTCCAAACCATTATTGATCTTATGTTAGTTGACCTGGAATGAAAAGCAAGCTGACTAAAACCTCTTTGGAATATCAAAAGCCACAAGATATCAGAGCTTAATGAATAGCAAATCATTGTGAAATGTAAAAAAAAAAAAAAACCAAACAAAAAAAACCCCCACAACACTTTTTTGTAAACTGTTTTGACTAGGAGCTACATCATGGAAGATTTCTCACCCCACATGTGCCTATATGCCAGAGTTATTAATGGCTTGTCATTTGTGCAGGACTGTGTGTACTGAAATGCACTACCCTTCCATTCTTCCATTTTGGAAGTGAACTGACTATTCTTTTGGGTCACCAGTAACGTTGAGTATAGTTTGCTTAGCCTGGCCCCAAGGGGAGTCTACGTTCCCGTTTTACTTTTCCATCATTCTAAAAAATGATAGAACAGTAACTAGCAGTTATATAACACCATTCATCTCCTAGCGCTTTATCAACAATAGTACAATGATCTTTCTGTGTACGACCACGGTAAAGAAAAGGCTGTGGAAGGGAAGACGGAGCCTTTCAAAGGGGAGAGAGGGCTAGGAGAGGCACAAAACTGAGTGGGCTTGGCTGGACTGGGACATCTAAAATGTGAGATCTCTGGGAGGGAGGGAAGGGAAGAGAGAGATTCACCCTGTGGTCTCCTTTCTGGTCTCTTGCATGGCTCTTGGTGGCTCTGCTGGCGAGGGCTGTCTGCCAGTATCTCCGCACTGTGACCCATCCAGTGGGGTCACTGAACCCAGAGGGAAAGTTAATGCTGCTTTGGGCAGCACGAACAACTCCCTCTTTTGTGTGCTCTTTTTATTTGGACTCTGTAAAGAGAAAATGGCACTTGTGCTGGCTCTTCCCTGGCCTCTCGTGCTGCGAACGCCGCTGTTCTGGCGGTGGTGGTGGTGATGGTGATGGGGGGTCTTCATCCACAGCACACCGAGCGCTG